GTGTGTGCATGCATAGGTTTATACATGTGCCTATGTTTGTGGGAGCTTCTCTTAAGATGGATGGCACCAATTCCCAATTATTTGCCTGTGTCAAGGCCCATTTCTCTCTCAAGTATCTCTTCACAGACCTTATTTCCCCTCAAATCAGGCTCTCTTCTCAATTTTCATAATCGGACCACTGATTTCCTCCCACTTCATTTTCTATCCTGGCTTTTATCTCTGATGGCCGTAACAAACCCCGTCCCTGCTCCCCATCTGTTCCCTGATGGCCCCCCTTTTCTCCTTCACCCCGTTCTCAAGCTCCCTTCTATTTGTCCCATGGTGTGGGGTTTAAACGGGATGGACTGCCACAGGCTCATAGGTTTGCATGCTCAGTCCCCTGTTGGTGACTGCTTTGGAAGGATTAGGAGGTGTGGCCGTGCTGGAGGAGGTGTGTCGCTGCGAGTGGACTTCGAGGTCTCAGAAGCCCACATCAGGCCCCATGTCCCTTTGCCTGAGGATCAGGATGTAACTCTCAGCCACTGCTCCAGCGCCATGTGTCCCGCCATGGTTTCCACCGTGTTGGTCATGGACTAAGCCTCTGAAACTGTAAGCACGCCCCCAATTAAATGCCTTCTCTTATAAGAGTTGCCTTGGTCATGGCGTCTCTTCACAGCAAGAGGACACTAAGACACACAGGCTGCACTTGCCTCTATCATCTTTAGGCTGTCTTCAGGTGGGTCCTCAGAGAGCAGGGGGAAGAAGCCAGGCAGCACCAGCTCTCTCGTGGCCACCAACTTCGCCAGCAGTGTGAGAGACTGAGATGGTGTGATCACGTAGAAGCTGCTGGCGGGAACATTCTGGCTGTGTCTGGCGATCTGGGGCTCCCCTCTGGCCAACAGCAGCCAGTCTCTTTTCTGCAACAAGGGCGCACATCTTCAGTCTTTGGTTGTTTTGAGGACAACCCCAACTGAAGATTCTGAGTTCTCCTTGGGGTGTCAAGGAGGAAAGACACATTTCACTTTGGCCCTTAGAAGGGAGGAGCTCCTGATAGCGCAATTACTGCTCTTCCTGTCTGGTTTACAGAGAATTCACAAAAAGATTGTGTGTGTGTGTGTGTGTGTGTGTGTGTTTACACAATTACAGAAAATACACAGAAAAGTTTTGGTGAAGACATATACTAAGAGCTGTTCTTTAACTTGAAGTGGGTACATTCCAGATAGACTATTAAATACTAAGTGTGGAGTTTGAAAAATGACAATCTTGTATATGTTGTATGTATGTGATTTATTTATGTGTGTGTGTGTGAGTGTGTGTGTGTGTGTGTGTGTGTGTGTGTGTGTGCAGGCATGCATGTGCCATGGTGTGTGTATGTCAGAGGACAAGTTTTGGAACTTGGTTCTTGTTGTGGCAGAGTTTTTCTTTCTGTTTGTTTCTGGTGTCTATTCTAGGCTAGTTGATCCACATGCTTCTGGGCAATTCTCCTGTCTCCACCCCTATCTTGCCATAGGAGTGTTGGGATTCAAGATGCATGCCACGAGGGCCCAGAGAGATGGCTCAGCAGTTCCAGGACCCACATGGTGGCTCACAACCATCTGTAATTCCAGTTCCAGGGGATCCATCGCCTCCTTCTTCTGGCCTTTGTGGGCACCAGGCACCCAAGTGGTGTATGGATGTACATGTAGTCAAAACATCCATACACATAAAGGAAAAACGATTAGAGTGCTTGGATTGAACTTGAGTGATCAGGGTTACATGGCTAGTGGTTTTACTCAATGAACCATCTCTTCTCCCTCATATTTTTTTTTTTTTTACCAGCTGGGTGTGGGGGTATTTACCTTTAACCCAGTACTCAGGAGATGGGGGCTGAAGGATCACAACTTCAAGGCCAGCCTGGCTTATATAGAGACCTTGTCTCAAGAAAACAAAAACAAACAAAAGAATAATTCTTTCTAAAATTATAATTCTTCCTAAATACATTTTTTGTACTAGAAATTGAATGTGATAACATTAAATCACCTCCCCCCCCCCAGAAAAGCTTTTGCTGTGTAGCCCAGGTTATCTAAGAACTCACTATTGTAGCCCAGGCTTGCTAGGCTGCTTCAACTTCCTGTGCTGGGATGAGCCACCATGCCTGGCTCTAAGAATTATAACTGTGTGAGTGTGTGTGTGTGTGTGTGTGTGTGTGTGTGTGTGTGTGTGTGTGTGTGACAACCTCGGGTGTCATTTTTCAGGTGCCTGTTCTTAAACAGGGTTTCTCTTTGGCCTGGAACTCACCAAGTAGGCTACTCACCAAGTAGGTTAGGCTTACCAAGCTATCTGGTAAGCCCCAGGGATCCATGTGCCTCTCCACCACTGGGATTATAAGCTTGTCCCACCGTGGTAGTTTTTTTGTTTTGTTTTGTTTTTTAATGTGGGTTGCTCTAGGGATCAAACTCAGGTCTGACTGAGTCATTTTCCCAGCCTCCCCTCCCTTTTATTTTATTATTATTATTATTTTGTGTGTGTGTCACTAGAAATTAAACTTAGGGCCTCACACAGGCTAGGCAAACACTCTACCACTGAGCTATCTTCCCACCCCCAATTCCCAAAGTTAGCCTTGAAATGGAGGTATGTAGAGGATGGTGTGGCGCATCGGGTCTTGTTCTGAGAACGAGAGTCTGGTGATGCTGCACTGGCTGCAGTTAGGATGGGACTGATGACTGTGGGGAGCCCCTGAAACACCCAGGGAAGGGTTAAGAAGATGCTGAAGCAGCCTGCAGACCAAGAAGAGAAAGAGGAAGTGTGTAGGGAAAGCTTTAGTACAACAGGACAGTGGGTGGGGACGGGACCCTGAGATCAACTCAGCCAGTCCACAGGACAAACAAGGGCTGGACCCTGGGGGCAGTGGTGCATGTCACATGCCATGGAGACAGCAGAGGAGAGAACGAAGACAAGCATTTACAAATGAATCTGCAGGCACACCCTTTTTGATGAGATGGAAACAAGGCAACTTTCTATGGTCCTTTTCCAAGGAAAACCACAGATCTCCAATAAACATGGAGTCAGAATGGTCATAGTCATTGGTAAGTTATGTCCTTTTGCTGGCAGAGACCATTAATCACATCTGGCACAAAATGTAACAATTTCCCAGTTACACAAGATGGGGAACAACAAACTCATACTAGTTCTATCATTCCAACATAAAAATAATTTGAAAGACAATGGAAAGGGACCATGAGTACTTTGTGGAAGACATTGGAAAGGGACCATCAGTACTCTGTGGAAGACAATGGAAAAGTGACACAGGGAGGCATCTAACACCTGCTGGTGGCTTTGGAGAGAGGAGGGAAATCTCTGCCATCTTAACTCAGTGCCATCAAACCACGTGGCACAGAACACCATGGGGTCTGGTGGTCTCTGGCAAGGGGAGGGAACCCATTCATTCTTCCAAGAAGAAAAGCTGTGACTGTTCTTGTGGTTGACAGTTATGGGCTGATAATTTTGGAAGTATGGTGCCTCTTCAATAAAATCTTGGGTAAAGATAGATGAGAAGTATGATGCTTCCTCAATAAAAGAATGGGTAGAGATAGGTGATATAACTATAACTATAATAATAATCTCAAACAGTGGAATGCTTACCCAGCCACAGGCACTGTGTGAAGAGCATTGTAGAGAACCTTAGAAGTTCATATGTGGGCTGGAAAGATGGCTCAGTGTTTAAGAGCACTGACTGCTCTTCCAAAGGACCCACATTCAATTCCCAGCACCCATACGGCAGCTCACAACTGTCTGTAACTCCAGATCCAGGAGATCCAACACCCTCACACATGCATACATGTAGGCAAAACACCAGTGCATACACAAAAAATAAAAAATAAAAAAAGTTCATACGGTGCTATTATTTTGGTTGTATCTAGAATTTTGTCGCCCCCCCAACTCCCTGCAGAACAGATTCAAAATGTGATGCGAAGTCCACCTGAGGCTCACTGAACCTATTAAGCTGGGAGTAAATAATGTTAAAATTATGGTATATGTGTGTGTCAGGGTATTTGCCTACCATGGGAACACAGCCTTGCTAAGTCTTAGGGAAGACTAGGTAATTGCTTAGCTTTCATTGGCCAAAGTAACTTCTGATTATGGCTCAGGATTTCAACCATCATTGCTTTCAGCCTTCTATTTTGTACCAGTTCAAGCACTTGTTTGTAAGTTTGTTAAAATATATAGAGTAGGGAGCTGCAAAGACGGCCCATTGGTTAGGACCACTTGCAGAATCGAATACTTAGGTTTAATTCCTGGCACCCTCATGGTGGCTCACAGTCATCTGTAACTCCACTTTCAGGGGATCTGACACCCTTTTCTGATCTCCATGGGCACTAGGTGTCATGAGGTGCACACACACACACACACATGCAGGCAAAACACTTATGCATATAAAGATTTTTTATTGAATACTTATCATGTTCCCAGCACTAGGTGTGCAGAAACTCACTAGATATACTCTGTGTCCTCTTGGCATTTATAATAGAGTAAGGGGGAAGCTCATAAAGGATGTTTGTCTAAGACATCACGTGACCCACTCTTCTGACTGGTCTATATTTAGGAAACGATTGTCCCATGTCCCAGAAAACTTCTCAGTCCTAAACAAACTGATATGTCAACCACCTGCCCAAGACTTGACTAAGCATGAGAGATCTTGCCACTGAGGCAATGAACTAGGGGCCATGGTGTATGATGTTTCTTGGATCTCATCACTAGAGAAGAGTCATACATGTTACACTATGGGCTTGCTAAGAGTCTCTGAGTGTTGCACACAGAACACTTTGGGACACTGGACTCTGAGTCGATTGACTCAGAGACAACAGCCAAATCTCTGTTATTTAGCTGGTATGTAGAAAGGACAGCAGTCTCAAAACTCTCTGCCAACGTTGGGACTGTCAGAGGACCGAGAAGATTTGCTTTTTGTCCCCTCCCTCTCCTTGGATTTTTCTGTAGCTGAAATAATTTTATAGAATGTTTTAAAACTTATGGGCTTGATACATAAAGAGATTGCCAGAAAGCTCTGGGAGAGAAATAAGTCCGTATTAGAGGACAATGTTAATTTATCTTCAGTTCCCAGGAGCATCTGGAGAGAGTGAGGAGGAAGGAAGTTTGAACTTGAAGGCTCCTGTTTAGGACTGCAGATTTCTAGCATCTCCCCCTGGGTAGTGGCTTATGGCACTAGAGACTGGAGGTCCAGGCCCCAAGTCTGAGGATGTTAGCTAAGTTATAGGTTGACCTGTTAGGACAAGCAATTGTGCTTATGCTGGGTGTGGCTGACTGCCACAGCAAGTATGTGAGGCTGAGGAAAAGTACTGGGAACATCTCAAAGCCAGCAGCCTTTGGGGTCCTCAAGGGGAACAGTGCCAATGACCGTAGATAACTGCTAATATACTTTGGCTGGTTCTAAGGAAAAGAACATGATTTAGATGCTAACCTTACCAGAAGGAAGATACTATGCTATGGATGTAGAACGTCTCCTATAGGCTCATGTATTTGCTTTCGTTCCCCATTGGTGGAGCTGTTTGGGGAGGGAACTTTTAGGAGGTGGGGGCTAGCCGAAGGAAGTGGATCCACAGAGCCTTACAGTCTGGCCTGGATTCCTATTCTGGTCCACCAAGATGTGATCGAGTAGCCTTGTGCCTCTGCCACTGTGAGCCTTCCTTGCCGAGCCCCTTCCCCACCCTGGCGTCTCTCCTCACTGTGAGACAAAATAAATCTCTCTTCCTTCATGTTGTTCCTCGTTAGGTATTTGCTCCCATCAATGAGAAAGGTAGCTAATGTACAGTATGTGAAGGATGCCTTTGTTTATGTGTAATTGGAGATCTTGCCATAGAATGTGGCTTAGACTTTACAGAGCAGGTTCCTTCTCCTCAGAGCAGATGTGGACAGGGGCAGG